GCCCTTCAGGTCTGGAATTGAACCCACACCTCTGGTTTCCAGCCAAACAAAATACAGGCATATGAGTTAAACATTTACCTCAAGTAGATACACTCCTTAGAGAGAACAATCATGGGAGAAAGAAGGGCAGCTTGTGCACAGGGTGACAGCTCAGGGGGCAGGAGTGTGTGGAGGGATGGACACTGGGAAGAGGTAACCATGGGGAGGAAGTGGGAGGGGAGCTGTTGCATTGTGGTAATCTGTGGTCAAAGACATGAGACAAAGTATATGTGAACTGCTGTATGGAAAGTGAATATGCTCTATAAATCTTCACCCAAATCACAATTTTTTAAAAAATAATAAAATAAAATAAAAATAAAAATTCTTTGATGGTTACCAGGTGTAGGAGGGTAAATCACTAACTAGAGGAGAGTGGACACATGTTAACTTGGGTGAAGGGGAAGGTAATACACAATAAAGAGTGGGTAAGCACAAAATAGGAGCTCTGGTATCATAGCGCCTAAGGCATCTGACTGCTAACCAGAAGGCTAGCAGTTCAAACCCACCAGCCACTCTTCGGACGGAAGGTTGGGCAATCTACTTCTGTAGTGATACCGCCTTGAAAACCCAAGGAGAGGTCATTATGAGTCAGATCCAACTCGACGGCAGTGTGGTTGGTTTTTGGTTTTGTTAAGCACAAAATGATCCAGGAAAGGAAGACGCTGGGAGGAGGACAAGAGTTAAAGCCAAGAGAAATAAATACTAGTTTATACACAATCCTGCAATAACAGTAATAAGAATAATCAAAAATCTATGAGTGCATTCATAGGTGGATGTGCAAGCTGAACAGGTGTGGGAAGGAGAATGGGACTATACCCACAAATATACATAGGTTTGACAGATGATATTTTACATATGTATTTACATATGCTAAGGAGCTCTGGTGGTACAGTACCTAAGGCATTTGACTGCTAACCAAAAGAAAGTTGGCAGTTCAAATTCACCAGCCACTCTGTGGAAGGAAGACGGGGCAATCTATTTCTGGAAAGATTTACCACTTTGGATAACTATGGGGAGGAAGTGGGAGGGGAGCTGTTGCATTGTGGTAAACTGTGGTCAATGACATGAGACAAAGTATATGTGAACTGCTGTA